TGTTGATGAGGCTGCTTGTTCGTTTCCCTGGCCACACAGACCCAAAATAATTACACAGAAACTATATTATTTAAGACATTGCTTGGCCAATAGCTTAAGTGTATTGCTAGTTAGCTCTTATATCTTCAATTAACCCATTCCTATTAATCTGTGTATCACCACAAGGTCGTGGCTTACTGGGCAAAGTTCCGGCGTCTGTCTCCTCCAGCAGCAGCTACATGGCATCTCACTGACTCTGCCTACTTTCTCCCAGCATTCAGTTTAGTTTTCCTGCCTAGCTCTATTCTGCCCTATCACAGGCCAAAGCAGCTTCTTTATTCATTAATCAACAAAAGCAACACATCTACGAAAAGACTTCCACACCAACCAAAACTCTTTCTCTGCCTCGTTCATCTTTACACTGCATGATAAATGTCACCTGGGGAAGAAGACTGTGTGTCAGAGGTTGACAGCACTTACTGAGATCTACTTTCTGTTGACTTGTCTCTCCCCGTCCCCCGGTGCTACTGGTCTCCAACTCATAACCATGCTCCTGCTCCACTCCCCTAAACATTAGGATTTTAGCCATGAGACAATATTGGTTCTCCGTTTCCTTTACCAATTTCTGTTTCCTATTTTCTCTGGAAACGATGGAAGTGTGTACTGTCCTAGTGTGCAGTAATAGGAAGGCCAACTGTGCCCACAGAAATCTTCCATTTGTGATCCTCTTCTCTTCCCTGGTAAGGCAGCCTTATAGGTGCTATGTATTTGTTATGGGCACGTATGTCAGAAACATGGACAGTCACGTTTGTTCTCTCTATAATGTCACAATGTATTAAGTAAAAATAAATTCACAGCCTACATCAGCTGTGTTGGCTACAGTTTCCAAAGTAGTCTCCAGCTGCCTGTCAGAGACCAGATTCTTTTATTTTAACCTCAGTTATTAGCATTAACTTTCAGGTCAGGTCACATAATATATACATGTCTGTGTGTGTATGCATGCATATCTGTAACAGGTTAAACAATATCTAAGAAAGGGTAAAAGAGGCTACAGAGTTCAAAGGCTTTCCTGAAGTCAGAGACAGAAAGCATACACAGGCACAAGGAAGAGTCTGCAGATAGGGAAAGAAGTCTGACAACCTTCAGGTATCCAGCTAATTCCAGGTGCAGAAATGTCAAATGCTAGTCCAAGTGACAGGACATTTCCAGGGTCAGGTTGACGAGAGCTGAGTGTCACCTGCAGGAGACTCTGCTTGAGCTGGAGACTAGGACAGAGGCAAACGGAGTCCTAGATACAGCAAGTATCCTAGAAGAGGAGGATGGCAAGAAACTGGGTGACAGCATGCCTATCACATCTTAGTCTTGGGGTGCCCCTTCTTTTATAGTCCCATGTAAAGGGGTTTATCATGCAGCATGATTGCTAAGTTCATATGTGGGGTGCTTCTGATTACCATTTGATATATTTAACTCTTGGTCTGTGTCTCCAGGTGTGCTGGCAGATAATGGTTGTTTACTTGTATAAGCAAGACAGTAGACTCATTCTTTCTTGGCACATATACTCAAAACGGAGTAACTCAGGTCATGGTTGTTACTTTGTAAATGGATTAACTCAAAACACTACAGTGTGGTGGTTTGAATAATAATGGCCCCAACAGTCTCATGTGCTTTACCTTGGCTCAAAGTTGGTGAAACTATTTGGGAAGGATTAGGAGGTGTGTCATTGGGGTGGGCTTTGATGTTTCAAATGCCCACACTAGGCCCAGTTGGCTCTTTTTCTCTCTCTACCTCATGATTGTTGTCTCAAAATGTAAGCTCTCAGCTACGGCTCCAGTTCCATGCCTCCCGTGCTCCCCACCATGATGGTCACAAACTCTAGCCCTCTGGAACCACGAGCCCTCAAACTAGATACTTCCTTTTATAAATTACATTGGTCATTCATGCATTTTGTCACTGTTACAGGAAAGTATCTGTGGTAGGTAGGGATAGCCTGAAAGGTGATATTCCACATCACAGAGTAAGCCAGAGCAGGCCCTGCCTGTTCTTAATATTGGTACTAGAATATGGAAGGCACCCAGGGTAGTTCTGGGGACAGCCACTCAGTTCACAGGGGACTTTGTTCTAACCTGTGGAAACTGAAGCTAGGGAGAGCCCTGAGCATAATACAAATCCACACCCTGGACCAGATAGTTCTCCATTGCTGTTTTATTCAATATCTTCCAAATGTCTAAACCTACCACATCCACCAGTCTCTCTCCTCAAACTGCTTCAATTCAGCTTTATGATCACCAGGTTTTTAAGCACAGTTCTCAAGTCACAAGTGAACCTCCGTTTTTTAAATTTATTTGACTGAGACAGGGTCTCCTAATATGACATAGGCTAACCTTGAACTTCAGATCCTCTGGCATCAGCCTGCTCAGTCCCGGGATTACTGGAAAGTGCTATTCCACCCAGTTTAATGCTGTGGAATAATCCGTTTGTACACTGTAAAGATTTGTCACTTGAATTGGTTTAATATAACACTGATTGGCCAGTAGCCAGGCAGGAAGTGCAGACAGGGTGACCCAAACTAATGAGAAGGGTAGAGTCAGGAGTCACCGGCCAGACACAGAGGGAGCAGGAGATGAACATGCCATGCTAAAAAAAACGGTACTGCCACATGGCAGAGCGTAAATAAGGAATATGGGTTGACTTAAAATGCAAGAGCTAGTTAGTAATAAGCCTGAGGTATTGAGCAAGCATTTAAAAGTATATAAGCCTCTGAATGTTTATTCTTCTGAATGTAAACTTCTGCTTACAGTTTAATTAAAATCTATTTGCCAAAATCTAGTTCATTAAAAAATCCTGAGCTGTTTCAATTTTTCCACCTGGCCCCAACATCAAATGTCTTCCCTCCTCCCCGCCCCCATCCTCTGCACAAACACTAGAACAAATCAAGGTCTCATTTCCATCACTTAACTGCTCCACCTTTGCCCCAGGTAACATATGCTATCAGTGTAACATACCAGCCAGAGCAAAATCTCCAGAAGCACGCACACATCAATGGCATGGTTATGATTTTCCAATACCAATCACTGACTGGGTTCAAATATCACTTCCACAGAGTATCCCTTCTAGAGAACCCAAACAATTTCTATTACTCCAGCCACCTTATTTTCTTTATTAAGTAACAAAAGCAGTTATGTATGTTATATTTCGAGACAGGCTCTCCCATAGCCCAGGTTGGCTTTGTGAGTTCATTCTATAGCGGAGTACGGCCTTGAACAGCTACTATTCCTACCACCACCTCCTGTGTGCTGGGATTACAGACGTGTGACTCTCGGTGCTAAAACTACCACTTGTGGTTCTGTTCTTTATAAACCCCATTAACTAGCAGACTTTTCTGTTGTAGTGTAACATCTCCTGCCCAGCACATGGCCTAATAATCTCCGTGAAAATTTAAGCCCCTCTTGGCTTCAAGATGTAGCTTCCTATTTACTTTTTCTTTGGATATAAAGACAATTAAACAAGTAGAAAATATATTGTATGGATCTGAGTACATTAAAGGCTGAATGTGTGTGCGCGGGGGAGGGATGTGGGTGTGTGTGGGTGTGGTGCGCGCCGCAGAGACACGTTTTGTGGCTCATCCTAGCTTCAAAGTTGATTCTCCAATCTTGGCTTCCAGGATACTGGACATAGTTTAACTCTACTAATTGCTCTTGTTGCCGTTGTTTTATCTGTGTGGTTTGTCTATGATTGTGTTTAACCAAAGAAAACAACTGCTATTTATACCTTTCGTGAAGACACTTTTGACCTGACAGATTTTAATTATTTCCATAAGAGTGTCCTTCACGTTGGGGTACTTGTTCGAAAGGACGTTTTGGCTTGGTGTGTGTGTGTGTGTGTGTGTCACACAGGCGGAGGTCAAAGGACAACTTTTGGAAGTTGGTTTTCTTCCTTCCAAGGATCGAACTCAGGTTGTCAGGCTTGGTAGCAAGTGCAGTTACCCCTAAGCCATTTTGCCAGCATTCAGGATGTCATTTCTTTATCACCCCTCTTTACTTGTTTAAGTCAGTAAGTGGCTGGAGAACGCAGGAGGCGAAGCCAGAGAACCCTGGGTTATTTTTGTTGTCAATCCACCTGCCTCAGCGTTTCGAGTGTTGGGAGTGCATTAAACTGGCCTGGGTAATCTTAAAATTTAAACCGTGCTTTTCCTTACTAGCACTCTTAAGTCCCGACCAGCTACTTCTCCACACCTCCATCGACTCGTGTACACGATGAAGATGATAATACTTCACAGACCAAGAGAACAGGTGCCCAAGAGCAACTGAGGCACAGCAAGATTCCGCCCGACCTGTCAAAGCACCAGCTCGGTCCCGGCTTTAGGTCGTGGGTATCTCGGTCAAATCTCTGAACTCGGTGTTCACGTACACGGACTGGGGCAGCAGCCCCACCGCGCTGCCCCGCGGGGCTGAGAACGTTTGGGACGTAAAAGACGTAACGTAGCTGTAGAGGGAAATTCAGACTGCGGGGGTCCCCTATGCAAATCCGCGCCTTCCAGCCGAACACGGGCGCCGGCGCTTCCGCACTTCCCCTCCAGGGCACCCGGCCGCGCCGGCCGCGCGCTCAGGCGCGGGGGCGGAGATTTGCATGTGCGAAATCGGGAAGAGGGGGGAACCACCGCTCGAAAACCCCGGGCGGACCTCGGGCGGCCGAGAAGCTCGCCCGCCGCTCCGCCCCGCCCGCCCCCGTCCGCGCGACGTCACGGACACGCCCCCTCGGTCCCCGGGCTTTAAGCCGCGCTCTGAAGGCCACCGGAGGAGGGGGATTTCTCAAGGGCCGGCGGCTTCTCACGCGCGGAGACGTCACCGCGCGCCCCCGGAGCTCCTCGCGCGAGCGCGCAGGCAGCCCGCCGCAGCTCCGCCGAGGACAGGGGAGCGCGCGCCCGGCGCGAGGCCACGCCTTCTCCCCCGCCCCGGGTAGGCGGTGGCGCGAGTGACGCAAGCAGCGGGAAATCCCCTTTCCGCCAGGCGGTCCGCCCCGCCCCCTGCCCCTGCCGCGGCATCCTGGCAGGGCGACGCCAGGACACGGGTGACCCGAGCGCGAAGATTCAGGGGTGGGAAGGTGTGAGCCGCAAACCTAGAGGGGCCGGGAAAGAAGAGGAAGCCCGGGGGTGGTCAGAGGACTGGGGTCCCGGCTGCAGTGGCTGCTCGGCCTCCTGACTGACTAGCCGGCTGGCGGGCTGACTCACGGGCGGACAGACGGGCTGACGGACGGACCGACTTGCATCCACTGGCCGGACGCGGGGAGCTGCGGCGGGCGGCGCGCGGAGCCGAGCCATGGCCTCGGGTGAGTACCGGGGCGAGCAGCGGGGCGAGCACGCGCGGGTCCCGGGAAGGAGCTGTCTGGCGGAGGCTCGGTTTGGGGTTGGGACATTCTGCCTTTCAAGTCGTCTCCTCTGGCAGATTGTCAGCAGTTTAAAAAGTTACCTGCTTCGGGGCTTTGCGTGCGAAATCAAAGCGGCGCACTGTAATCTGATCTCCTCGTAACAGCCAGAACCGGCGAAATCCCAGCGATGTGGTTTTTAGGATTCGAGGGGTAAGCACGGTAGAGGAGGGCACAGGAATCTCGCCTTTAAAGACCGGCACTGAGACGCCGCCGTTTTACTTTTTCTGAAAAAGAGGAACCTCCGGACCTCAGGCGAGCTTTCTTTTTTAAGTCTAGTCGTGCCGGTAGCTAATCGCTCTCGGGCTGACAGTTGTACAGAATGTGGCATGGCTGTAAAAGTCCTTGGTGGCGTTTTAACTCGTTCCAAGTGAAAACACTAGATTTTTTTCGCCCCTCCGGGCTGAAGGGGTTCCTTGTCTAATTTTCCGTGCCCACCCTGTCTACTCCCAACCCTGCACGAACATTTTGTTAGCAACAAGACGGTGAGACGAGTTTTCGACTGTGCTTTAAAATAACTGGTTCGAGTGGAAATGTGATCGCTTAATGTAAAGGGGAACACGTTTGTAAGGAACGGTGGACAGGACAAGGGAGGGAGCCCAGTATGACAGCCTGCTGTGGGCAAAGCCAGCGAGTGCGTCCAGCTCACCCAGGTGGTGGTGGGCGCTTTCCTGGCCGGGGGGAACTAAAGCCACCCCTTTATTCCAGCGGGATGCTGACCCTAATCTTCCCAGTGACCCTGTGGGTCACTGAGGAGAAGGCGGCGGACGTCTAGCCGAGAAGAGGAAGTAGAAAGCTAAATGAACTCCTCTAAGAGTTGAGCAGAACAATGCCATAACTCCTGTTGTAGGCCCTGAAGGAAACCGGGGTGTTTCACATGACGCTTGATTTCAGTTTGTCTGTGGTTTTCATGAGAAAACAAGTGTAGTTTAAAATATTTCAACTTTCTCTTTACTCATTTCAATGAACCCAGACTTTCAGGTAAAGTCGAAAATTTAACTCGTGTTAGATTAAAAAGTACAAAGAAGGCTTCAAATATTTAATTAACTCATTGTGATCAGAAAGAGAGTCCGTATGAAAGTTGGAGAGTGGCAGGCTTTGTTAAATAGAGCGGGTTTTGCCCTGTCTACTAAACAGGATTTTATTAATATAGTACATGAATGTAATACTTGAAATTTTCTCAAGAGAAAAAAATCATTTATTATATAAAGTACTGTAAGACAGCTACGATTTTAAAATGTGATACAATTGGAATTTGTCTAAGGAAACATATTTTGTGCTGTTAGAGAAATGATTCCCAAACTTAAAGGCAGAAATTTTTAAAGAAATGGCAAGGATTTAAAAGCTGTGTTTGGGTTGTAGCTCTTGATGGTGGTCTTGCTTAGCTACTGTGAAGGCCTGGGTTTGAACCTCAGGACTGTCAGGGAAAAAAAATCAACAAAATGTAAATAAATCTGTAAGTTGTAGTGTTGCTATCTTCTTACTTTTGCACTAAATGAAACTATTTAAAATAAATTGTGCAATTTAAATGTACTTCACTTATTTGAAATGTTTAGGGAAAATGTAGTTCAAAGGAGTCTGGGTACACTATCAGTTATAAAAACATACAGAGTAAAATTGTGAAATGCTTTCAAAATCCCCATTCCTTTTGGAATAGTAAGTTGAAAGCAACAACATTTGCTCAATTTATCACCAATCTAGAGTCTTTTTGTAATATGGTATTGAAACCTTGAGAAGTATTCTTACTGATTACCAAGCATTTAAGACCATTTGTGCATTTGTCTCCGGATGTCATATGTAAATAGGTCTGTGTAATTGAATAGGCGGTGCCTATAATGTAAAAGTGTCATAGATCACAATCTCATAAGCAAAATTATATAAATGCCACAAGTAGACGGGATTTTATATGATGATTCTAATTATTGTTCTGGTAAATTAGCAAATTATGACTTCCTAGCTAGCCATTAGGCAGTTTTTCATTGCCCTTTTAAAAATACTGTGCCTTCATTCTAGCCTTTTGATGTGATTAATTATAGCAGGCAAAGTTATTATTCTTGTGATTCTATTCTATTTACTTTTAGATGCTTTATGCCCATATTTAAAATTTCTCATTATTTCATAAAAAGAACAAAAACAAAGTGGGGGGCTCAGTTACTTTGTGTGGCACGTACTGTGGTTACTAATGATTAATACATTCATCTTTAGTGAAATGTGCTTTAAACTTTAGAAAGTTTGCTTTAGTCACCCTTTTCGTATGACTGCGGTATCACATAACAGGAAGTACAGGAAGAAAGTATTTTTGTGACCGTACTAGTCACCAGCTTTTTGTATGTGAATTTCAAGATAACCTTTTTTTCCCTACTAGAAGTGAATATAACTGAGACAGCTTACACTCTAATAGTAGAGCTGGAAGTCAGGAGTGGTTAGCTAGAACAAATGCCTGCCTTTCACAAATACAGTTATTTCAGAAATAAAACACATGAAAAAGAGATAAAGTTGTTATCAAAATTAGTGATGTATACTAAAGAGACTGGGTGGAGAAAATGATAAGGGGGCACAGTCATAATTAGGAACACGGGATATCTGTGTGGTTTGTTTCTCAAATACAATTTAAGGGACTCAATAATTTTGATCTCAGTCCTCTCCCATCTGTGTCCTCTGCATAATTGTGTTTATGAGCACATGAGCTGAGTATTGCAAAGGAGGATATATTTACCCAAAAGTAATTATTTATTTGAAATTTGTATTTAACTGAATCACTTGTATTTTTAAGTATGAAATCTTAATAGAGATGACTTGGTACTGCCATGTATTTTTTTTTGTCTAGGAAAGACTCTAGACATTATTTTCAGCAGGTAAAAAAAAAAAAAAACTTGAGGACTGTTTTTTTTTTTTTTTCCTGTGCCCGCAGCAGTGAAATCTTACTGCAAAAACTTTACTTCACTTTGATTTGCCCTTTGGTACATACATTAGTCGAATACACCTGTTGAATTCCTTCTTGTTGAAAGTCAGTTGGTTATATTAAATTTTATATATACATATATATATAATATGTATATAGAGAGAGAGAGAGGGGGGAGGGAGAGGGAGAGAGAGAGGGGTTGGTTTTGTTTTTCAGATAGGGTCTCGTATAACTCAGGATAGCTGTGTAGCTATGACAACTTTAAACTCTTGATTCTCCTGCCTCAGCCTCCTGAGTGCTAGGATTTCAGGTGTGAGTGACCAGGTCTGTCTTGAACTAGCTTTGATAGACCTGTCTGGAGGAAAAATGAGAACTCTTGGTTTTTTCCAGAATTAATAGTGGTGCTGTTTGGCAGTGTGTGCTCCCTAACTGTTTCCTGCTAGGATTTCTGTGGGAGAGCAGCGCTCTGGTCACCTGTTCCCAACTCTGGTTAGTATGGCCATCGTTTGTGTTCTGGATTGTAAATAATAAGGTGCTGAAAGTTGTTCAGAATAAGACTGTGTTGAAAAGAAGCAATCTAAAGCTATCTTTAGAATGTCTTCTTGGTTGCAGTTGAATGAGCTTTTCTTGTTTGGAAGAGAAAAAGGAGTGGCAACTAGCCCTATTTGTTTTGCCTGCTTTATCCATGATCCTGTCTCTACTTGGATCTGAACTCTGTGTGGCTTCCCCGAATAACTTGCATTGCTGTTGTCACTTCTTTGTGTTGTAGGGCGCTTGGTCTTCAGAGATTGAGACTAATTTGGAGGTTTTTTTCAGAAATCTGGGCTTTCCTCTTGAAGAGCTACATTTCTCTTCAGATCTCTCTGAGGCTAGGGGATGACTTATGGTTTGGAAAAGCTACCTAAGTGGTTACTGAAGTACAGCCCCAGGACAAACTTTGCTCCAGGGACTGACTACTTTGAATCTAAATATTTGCCTTCTGTTCTTAAGCTAGCTGTATTGATTTTAGATGATAGGTTATAGCCACATCTGTTTATGCTTAAATGCTTTTTTCTTGTTACATAAGTGAAATAAGTGATATTATTCAAAAGCTTGGTTGTAATTACATCTCAGTCAGTTTGATGACTCTTGGCTTTTGTTTGTTCTTTCAACAAGAAAATCTCAAGGAACATTTTCACTATCATTCTTTTCATATCCCTTTTGTGGTCACAGACTCAGAAGACATCCATTTGGTAGTCAGATTTGTTAGTTTCTTAGATTATGATTTCTTCACTGATATATTTTTTAAAATTGTTAGTGTGTCTATATGTGTGTATGACAGGGCATAGTGCTACATTCCTTTAATCCTGCATTTGGGAGGTAGAGGCAGGCAGATTTCTGAATTCAAGGCCAATTTGGTCTATTAAGTGAGTTCCAAGCCAGTTAGACCATGAAGTGAGCCTATCTCAAAAGATAAATAAACAAAAATAATAGAATAGTAATCTTTTTCTCACAATTTTATATTATTTTGAAATTTAGTTTTATCACCTCTAAAATGAGATAACACCAGTTCTCTTTATGAAGATTAAAGTCAACAGGATCAGTGAGAAATACCTATGTATATATTTTCACTAGTATATGTAATTAACTTATTCTCATTGTGCACTTAATTCTGGCTTCTAATTCTAACAATAATATTTCAATAATAAAATTATTTAATAATAATTAATAATATAATTGCTAATAATCTAACAATAATAATATACCTATTTTATATATAATTCTGAAGGCTGATCTATTTCTAATGTGTCAGTGTAATTTCTTTTTAATTTTAAAAACTCACACTTGAATTAGTAAATAGAAATTAGCACATTAGTAAAAGGAAAGATAAATAGTAAAAAGAAAAGTAAATAGACTCAAAGAGCATTCCTTTTGCCTAAGTATACTTGAAATCTTAATTATATTGCAAGCATTTTAGCTGTACTTCAAAAGTTGTTCTAGCCATTTTTAGAATTTACAATGT